AAAAAAAAAAAAAAAAAAAACTCTCTTTGTGCTTTGGTAGTTGAGTAGAAGTTGAGAGTGTTGAAGTTCATGGCCTAGGATCATTTGATAAGGTTTTTTAAGCCCCTAGCACAAAGTTGTGGACGTTGTATAATAGAGGCCGAATGAGACAGAATCCTACAATTTGCAACACATGACTTTCGTGAGGATGGGGGACAGGCCAGACAACTCCCCCCTAACCAAAATCGTTATGTTTCTCGCCAAAGATCATCATTATTTTATTTGATGTTTTTATAATATTTTAACCATTTATAAAACCCTCCATTCACTCTCATCCATGATAAGCTAGATGATATGGTGACAGAACACAGTACAATGTCTTACAGGAAACTCGGAAAAGTGTTATGCAAAAAAATTCTCTACCAGGGATTGTGAACAAATATACTTCAGGTTGAAGACAAGTGTGTCGGTAAAATAAATGTCATTTAGAGACCATTAAAGGATTAAGCGGTATTTCTTTCATGTAGGTCCGCCACATTCAGGTCTCGGCCTTGCTAGATCTCGGCTCTTCTCGATGTGAATGCTCTCTCAAACTAAAATCAAGACCAACTCGATACGTTCATACCGTGTGCGTTGAGAATCAGTATATAAGAAAACCAACCAAAATAAGAAAAATAACTCCCTTTTTTGATCAACCGTTTATATTGGGGTGCACTTGATAGGTTTTAATAATTCCAATGCAACACTCTCCACTCTCAATTTTAATAATATTTCCTGTTGCTTGAAATCATGCAGGAGCGACAGAAACAATGCATGTTTGTTTATAAATATATAAATAAACATCACATTTAAATCAAATTGTCAGTGTTTGAAACTAAAATTAGGACGAACTTGATACCTTGACACAGTGTACGTTGGGAATCAGTATATAAGTAAACCAAATAAAATAAGAAAAATAAATCCTTTATTTTTTTATCAACCCTCTATATTGGGGTGAACTTGATAGGTATTGATAATTCCAATTCCATGCTCTCCACTCTCCATTGAAATAATTTTTCCTATTGGTTGAAATCATGCAGGAGTGAAAGATACATAATGTATGTTTGTCTTTTATTTAATGTATACAATTTGCATTATGCTTTCATATAGGTGAAAATAAATATAAACAAAATTAATAAATATATGTAAATAAAATAAACATGGTTTAACTGATTAAATAGATAAATGAAGGAATTAATAAATAAATGCACCCTGGAAACTACAGCTGTTTTTCCTATAGCACAGCACCAAGGTATATTTTTTCAAAAACCGTTGAGAACATATTATAAACATGTTTTCGTGTTCAAAATTTCTAATTTTCACCGCATTAAGTAAAATTCACCAGCCTTCTTTGCTAGATTGTGCGAATCGCCATTTCCATCCCTGGTTATTATCATCATTATTGAAAAAATTCCCCTCGTCTTTCATTTCATATTTCTGAAACAAGAAAAATGTCCATTCTTTAACCCCCACTCCCACCCTTCAGAGAAAAATCCTGGGTCCAGCAGTAAATGTGACTACTAACTGTTTTCCTTGTAGAATACGAAGAACACGCGGTAAAAAGGGGGTTAGTGCAAGGGGAAAACATCTGGAAAGAAGTCAGGTTCATCCTTCTCACTCCCATAGAGGATATTCCTTACTTTTGGTAAATTTCTCCAGCGCAAAATCTTTTGAATGCCCGGGTGGGACTTATCGAATGCAGTGGTGATGAACTTTGTAGAAACCCTGTATTCCATACTGTTTTTTCTGCTGGCATTTCCTGGAATGTCAAAATACAAGGCCTGTCTCTTAAAGGTCCGAAGCAAGTTAATATTTTCCCCGTTGGCGGTTTTAACTTTGTTGTTCTTGTCTATCCATGTGCGTAAATAATCACGCGGTATACGGAAATCGCCAGAATCGGCGTAGGCTCCCTTCAACTTATTGTTCCCATGATATCTTGGATTTATTACATACACTGCGTTGCAACGGACCCGATTTGAATTATAAAACATCGCAGATATGTGAATGACAAACCACTGCGAAAACCACCATGATGTGTGATCTAAATCGCTTATGTATGGCAACATGAAGGAAATTGTGTGGCGGTGGAACCCGTTGAAAATAGCATCGAAATTGTAATTCACCCCCACAGGGGCTGGGACATCATGGGTGTAAAAGCCAAATCTTGTAAACCCAACTGCTGGTTGGAAATCGTGTAAAAACAGTTCAAATCGATCAAATGGGTTGCGTGGTAAATCTTTTCTCCACCAGCGTTTCGTTTCATTCTCATTATTTAGCAACAAATCATCGTCCAGAAATAGGTAGTACAAGTAGCCACCGTCATTCCTTTTAGATGCACGGTCAATTGCTTCCAAGAGCAGCCGGTTACGACCTTCAGTGAGAGTGCTGTTCGGAAAGTAGATGTCGCCTGTTTTGTCTCTGTACGTGAGCCATATTATTTCTCTATTCGGCGTGGCGTTGAGACCGGGAATAGGGTGTCTTGATGCGCCTTGGACGAGATAGACTAACTGCGGGTGCTGTTCTGTCCTTACTGAAGAACCATTTTCACCTATGCTGCTTGACATCAGAGGCCTGACAATTACAATGTCTTGGAAACCAAAGCGTGCCATATATGGCACCCAAAGGAGTATCACAGAGACAACAGCAAACAAGAATACGCGTGTGCATTTCTTCATTGCCATCTGAGTTCTGATCCTAAAGAAAAATAAAAAAGACTAATAATACTATATATTATTAACCTTGGTGTTCCTTTGACCACACAGGACATTATGCTAATCCGCAACAAATTTAGAATGATAAGAACGTATTTCATTTGAGACAAAGTAGGGCCAGCTATAGCATTAAGAAAACCACATTGGTCATATACTATTATTATGAAACCATATGAACGGGTCTTTAATAGAATTTAGCATGTAATTCGTTCAGACACCAAATTCACATTAAAGTGTATACTGTAATATAATATTTTTTGCTCAATTAGTATAAGGTATATATATATGTCTAAATTTCCAATAACTATAGGAAACTCACTGCAAGCAGAGCATGATATTACAGGTTACCATAGACGGTCATCTGGTACACCTATACGGCTCGCGAGGGTTATGGAGTACTTGCCATATAGATGAGGTGTTTTTCTAATTTAAAATTTTCGTTTCAAACGTTATGTTAACCCATGGCAATGTATTATTCTACCTGTACAAAGTGATGCCAAAGACGAAATGCTTTTATTCACACCTGCCGTCACTACTGGTATATTGAGTTTCTGTAGCTCCGGTGTACCATGAAAATCTGACTCCCCTAAAACGTGACTCCCCAGTCAGATTTTCATAATGAAAATGTGACTCCCCCTATGAAATTTTGACTCCCCCCAAAAAAAACATCCATAAATCTCATTTAATTTGAGTAAATGACTATGATCTTGTAGTATGAATAATGGAGGACACATTGGCACTTTTTGTTAGTTTGCAGGTGAAAATTTCATGAAATAATAATAATAAAAAAATAATAAAGATTTGTATTTTACCACCCAAGGACTCCCCTATGAAAAAGCTATTTTCTTTTACATTTGATGACCAGTTCAACATCTTTCCTTTTAGAATACTTTATGAAGTTTGTATTGGAAGTACTTGAAAGTTTGATGGTAAAAAATTGGATGAAGAAAAACATGAAAAATGAGAAAAAATTAAAGATTTATATTCTAACATGACTCCCCTATGAAAAAGCTATTGATTTAATATTTGATGATCATTCTGACATCTTTTCTTTTAGGATACGTTATATTGGAAATATTTAAAAATGCGCATGGTAAAATACCGGGTGAAAGTAAATTAAAAAAAAAATGAAAATCTTCATTTCATATGCATGGGATTTGGACTCCTATGGACTCCCAATAGAGAAAGGCCCCGTTTTATATTTGCTGTTGTTTTTCCCATTTTTTCCAGAAGCTGAATGAAAAATGGGGATTGGTGATTTTAAACGGATAATAAATTTGCATTCTTGTACCCGTAGGATTTTAACTCCCCTAGTCTTTCAAATATTTCCAATATAATCTTCATAAAGTAAAAGTTAAGGAAAGGTGTTGAAATGATCATCAAATATTTAATAGGTAGCTTTTTCATAGAGGAGTTATTGGGTGATAAAATGCACATTTTTAATTTTCTTATTTTTCATGTCTTTTTTTAGTTTTTTTCACCCAATATTTTACCATCAAACTTTCAAATATTTCCAACATAATCTTCATAAAGTAAAAGGAAATGAAAGATTTTGAAATGATCATCAAATATTAAATAGATAGCTTTTTCACCGGGGAGTCACTGGGTGATAAAATGCACATTTTTAATTTTCTTCTTTTTCATGTTTTTTTTTTTGTTTTTGTTTTTTTTAACCCATGCAATAGTTTACCATCAAACTTTCAAATATTTCCAATATAATCTTCATAAAGTAAATTTAAAGAAAATATGTAGAAATGATCATCCAATATCAAATAAATAGCTTTTTCATAAGGGAGACAGTGGGCGGTAAAGTGCACATTTTTAATTTTCTTATTTTTCATGAAAATTTTCACCTGCAAACTAAAAAAAAAGTGCCAATGTATCCTCCATTTTACATACTACAAGATCACAGTCATATACTCAAATAAAATAAGATTTGTGAAGTTTTGTGGAGGGGAGTAAAATTTTCATGGGGAAAGTCAGATTTGCATGTTACACCGGTGCCGTGATGTATGCGTCTGTTACTGCACGTGGCCTTCTAGAGAATGACCTAGCTATGTCTTAGATAATACACTGTCACCCGAGCGAAACATGCCATGACATCTCGAGCGTCAGCGAGAGCTGTTCACGGCATATATTGTAAGAGGGTCACAGTGTATGATTTGATATAAACACCGAGAAAAAAACATCATCATCATCATCCTGAAACTCACCTACGATACAATGTACATGCATATCACTCTCTAGAGATGTTGTATGGAACAAACTTGTCCAATCCACGTGCGCTGGACACCTCCCGTCAAATTCTTACGTAATTTCTGACCAATTTGGTCAATTTTCGCTAAATACTTGTTGTGAAAGGACAACTCACTTGAACAGTATTCAATCAACCGTCAACACTGACCACATGTGACTTGGCTGAGCCACACCTAGCTGGGACTGCTGCGGAACAAAGGTCCCAAGGTAAAACCTCTACTTTTCAGTGACATTTCTGATGAACAAGGAGTGTCGGACTGGAATAGAGTCAAATTAATTATTTTCAAATACAAAAGAGAAATACTTTTATTACTTAGTTACATTTCTGAAGAAATGTCGGTTTCTGATTGTTTTTAACAAGTTCACAGGAGTTATCCCAGCAGGCATAGTTGCGTTGGATCAACGTTGAAAACAGGTTGATACGTTGAATTGCCGTTGATCTACCTAAATTCAAAGTTAAATCAACGTTGATCCCGCCACGTCGAAACACCGTCATAATGTGACGTTGACTCAACGTTGTATTTTGGTCAATGACACAACCTTGCAGTTATGGATTGTTATTTAAAATATTAATTATTGAAAACGTGATACTTTGTTTATCAATACTGTAACTAAATTTATCAATATAATAACAAAAGGGGTTTAAAGTAAAAGTGACAGGTGTTTAGTGCCTTTAGTTAACTAGTGAATTTTCTTATCTTGTTATTCAGAAATACATTCCAATAAACTGAAATACTTGCAAGGTCAGCTAACACTAGGATGAATAAGTTGCTGTAATTGTGATGGAGTTAACAGTTCTTGGTAACCTGTTATAGATAGACAGGTTGAGGTGACTGTGACTTCGTTATATATATTAATCTAAACCTTGGCAATTTTAACTTAAAAGCCATACATTTATACCCTACATATATTTAGCCATCAAACATGTCCTACTGCTACACACATCCAGGCTTATTTCCCGCTGGGTGGGGTTGATATAACATTGTTTTCTGACGTTGATACAACGTTGTTATCTGAGGTTGACACAACTTTCAAATCCAGCGTTTATCCAATGTCTACTCAACGTTATTGTTCAACGTTGTTTCAACGTTAAACGACATAATTTTACCCGCTGGGTATAACTCTTCTTTTAATGTTTATTTTTATGGCGAGACGTTTTGGAATATAGTCAAAGTTTGACGGATGTATATTACAAGTGCACAGGTGTTATAATTTTAATTTACGTTTTGGTGATTTTCTGACGACGAGGCAGTTTTGGAATATAAGGCACATGTGCTTATTTCATGTTCAAACGGAGAATAGATTTGATTTTTACCGATATTTCTGAGAAAGGTGGAGGAAGCACATCTCACAAACAAAAGGTAAATAACACAACCTAGGTTAAAAAGTTATAAATTTACAAATATTTTGTACGCACGTGAGGATTAAATGTAAAATAATTCCCCTTTGCAAACCAAACCCTTTCATCTGAGTTCAAAGTACAGCTGTATGAAAGGAATTAGTGTAAAAATGATAAAAAGTTTATTCTAACTTTTAAAAGTGTGAGAGGTTTTAAATGTATCTAGGAATAAATAACGCAATATTCGCTTGAGGCCAATAAGATTGCACGTATGACTCTGCCTTCGACTTTCAGCATTTTAGAAGTCTTATTTAACCGAGTTATAGTCGAAAAGGTCTACACTATATCGAGGTAATATCCGAAACTGGGTTTTCTGTTGCTGACTAAAAATGTATATTGTGCTTTCATGATACTGTATATTTTAAGTCAATCTGTGCTTCTACCGATAGAAATGCCTTGTCGAAATAGAAAAGACGTTGATCTGTTCTTCGATTCACACACACTGCAGTACATCATCCAGCCATGACGTAAGGATAATTCAAATTACTCTGTACTTATCTTGCTATTAAAACACACACACACACACACACACACACACACACACATGATGAAAACGTACTCGTACTTAAGTCCCATTTATTTGCACTACATAAAGTTAGATTAAAATGTAACATACATTCACTTCACATAATTGTATTCAATAGTGTCAAAGTTGAATGATTCAAAGCAGAACATTTATCATTAGTGCATTTGCATTTTCCAGTGGATTAATCCAGAAACTGCCGTAAATGCCTTGCGCAGAACAAAATGATTATCATGCATCAGTTTTCAATATTAAGGCTTGCTGTATTCGTGCCTTAAACCATATATTCTGATTCATAATGACTCGAAAATGTATAGTATTTGAATACGTTCAGAGATGTGTCTGACCATTAAGCTGTAAGTTTACTTTTAAATTTTAATTTTAAGTTTAAATCTGTCATGTTACATAGACGTTCAAAACCGTGGTTATTACATATACATCGAGACGAAAGCTGCAGTAACATGGATTAAGCACTTAACGTCATAATGCTCGCGGTCAATACAGAAAATTAAACCAGTGGCTGCATCCCACCCATCACGACAGGCGAGAGTCCCACAGAACGCGCAGACGATCAGGTGCCCTCAGCACGCGCGGTGTCTTGTACTGGAATCGACTTGCACGAGGGTTGCTCTCCACTGCGGCGTCCCTCAAGGCATTAAATGCCCCGGTCTTCACTTGGATAACTTTCATGGGAAGAATATTTCCATTATCTCTCAACATATTGTAAACTTCGTGTTCTTCATACAAAACGTCTTCAAACTAAAATATATAAAGATAAACCTATAGTGGTTTTGATTCTAATTAAATGCAGTGACTGGCAACACAGTACGGCGTACTCCCTTAAGAATTTTTTTTTAATTTTAAGACTTTTTTCAGAAAATGTACCGAAACATCGTACGTCTGAAAACGTGTCATACATGTAGTTCCCACTAGTACTAGTACTGCCACTTGAAAAAAAGTATGCAAACAAAGAATTAATGCAAAATCACTTGCCATCTGCTTCTGTTGTGAAGTCATTCTCGTTTGTTCCTTGTTCGAGTTTTCTGACAACTCCATAAACAATACATAGTGTCTTCCATTTTGTAGAGGCTCTGAAAAAAATGTATTATAGCACTACATGTATGTGTAATGGAAGGCAACATGAGAGCAATTCTTCAATCTATATTCATGATTCAAGTAAACCAGAAGATGAAAAATCGGCTATGGATTAATTTACCAGCGATAGCTTCAAAGTTGACGTTCTCCGTCGCAGTATATTCAGCTATGTCAACATCGATGCGGTTGGCTGCTCCTCGGAGTGCGTGGACAAAGGCGCCCTCGGTCATCTTTTCCCAGAAAAGATTTAACATCTGTCCCAGTCTGAAATAAAACATAATAACGACATTAAAATGGACTTAACTAACATGTCCAATACTTTCAATAGATTAATGAATCTATCCCGACATTTATAGTAAGTCAATTGGTTTTTTTTAAAGTAACTGACATCTCAAAAGGACGACGCCTCTACCAGTAACAGTCTGGCCTTGCCAGTTGACTTACAATTGGCTACTACTAAAAGCTGGCCAAGGTTTAAATGCCTTATAAATATGAAAGTATTTACTTAAACAGTTCAGTGAATTAAAATAAAAAGGTTCAATACAACTGTTGATGCATGGTGACAACATTTTATAAAACCACAACCATCATTTAAATTGTACAGATGATAATTTATGTTCTATAGTTCCATGAAATACAAACTGTTTTTTGTGGATATAAGCTGGACAATAGGAGTTACCTATATTGGAACTCGTATACTGGAACCTGGTTGTGAAAATCCACTATCTTCACCACGTCACCTTGTCTGTAACGCATGACAACCGCAGTTGTTACAACCAGTTCATAACACTGTCCTATTTGTACCTGATTAAAAAACATATTACACAATACATTTAAGACAATTAAATCAGTTAAAACAGTTAAAGAATCAAGAGTGTATTAAGAAGAGAGTATCAATTATATAAATATAAACAGAAAAGAAAATGAAGTCAAATCTATTATTATAATCCATTTAACTGGAATAAATAAAGTTAGGGTCGTTTGTCAGTGAAAACCCTCTTATTACGGGGGATAACTGCCTTTTAACGCCCCTATTCCCACCAAAAAGAATTGTTAGAGGTTCACTGCGTGCGTCTGAAAATCCCCCACAGCCATATGCATGTAAGTACTGTAAAACGTTCCCATTTCAGACTCCAAAAGACAATGAAAACCTCTAAATAGAAGTTTATCTGTAGCCTGCCTTGTCTCTTTTTCATCTTTTCAACTTGGCCGGCTTAAATGTCTGTCACGCCTACCAAATCAGCTAGGGGGTAAAGATAATTACCCCCTAACAGTTTTGCTAGGCGTGACATACATTTAAGCCAGTCAAGTTGACAGCAATTTAGTGAGACTCCCTAGTGAGATAAATCGATCCAAATATCTGTGGGAATGGTCCCTAAATTATCATGTTTAAAATGGAATCAAACATCATCCAAGTGCAAGGATGGGTCAAGCATACCGGTATTTATGAGTAGGAAAACATTCATTTTGGCGGGAAAATCCCATGGAGTTGCCCATAAACCAGTGAAAAGAATAAAGAAAAACCTAAGGCCAGACTAGTGCGCAACTGCCTCATTAGAGCTACAGTTAATTGTGCTCACCTCCTCAATAGGTACCACACGGGGAGATGGTTTATCTGTTTCCTCCAGGGGGATAAAGTCGAAGTGATTTAAGGAAGCCGTCATAATGAAACGCGTTTGGCCGTTGTCGGCGGGATCACAAAACCCGAATAACCCCTCCGTAGCTGCATGAGCGGGATTGCAAAACGGAACGTCTTTCATATAATGTTTCTTCAATCCTTCGGCCTCAAGGAGAAGAGAACCCGAACACAACATTAGAGCTGCGTTACATTCCGGCCATAAACGGCGCACAATGCCGTCAAAGCCCTGCTTTATAATTCTTCGAACTTCAACAGCTCTTTGGGGATCCGCCCTCATATCGGTCTGCAACTTTTCCCTGATGTCCTCGGGTATGTCCAAGTCAGTATTTAGGGTACCGTGTTCTATATCGTCACATAGTTGTGGCCATTGGTGTTCCAAAGTTTGACAAAACCGGGTAGCAACAGACGGGAAAGAGAAGTTAAAAGCCCCAATACCAGGATCTTTTAGTGCGAAGAGTACATGTAAATAATGGGACTCGTTTTCGGTAGTGACGTCATACACGACACGTGGTGAAACCAAATAACTTGGAAAGAATCCATACAGCCCAGCTATTGGTCCAGTTTTTACGCCACTGTCCGTAAAATCTGTCTTGACTCCTATTCTGACCTCGTGAAAACGTTTCAGGTGATCCCATAGCCCAGCTCTTTTGAAGCTAACGGTAGAAAAAAGAAGACTTTTAAACATCTTTGATGGTTTGGCAAACATCTCTTTTGAATATACGAACGCTTTGTTTTTACCAGTGGTCCCTGAAGTAAAAGCGATGTAAAACGGGTCAAATGGAGTGATTTGGTTTTTTTCTCCCGCTACAGTTTTGTCGATGTAAGGTTTAAGGTCGGCATAGGACAAAACTGGGTGCAGTTTCAAAAAATCTTCCCTCGTCCGCATCTGAGAATAATTGTGTTTTTTGCCAAACTCCGTATTTTCCNGGTGGTCCCTGAAGTAAAGGCGATGTAAAACGGGTCAAATGGAGTGATTTGGTTTTTTTCTCCCGCTACAGTTTTGTCGATGTAAGGTTTAAGGTCGGCATAGGACAAAACTGGGTGCAGTTTCAAAAAATCTTCCCTCGTCCGCATCTGAGAATAATTGTGTTTCTTGCCAAACTCCGTATTTTCCAGCGTGCGAATGTAAAACATTAACGCATCTTCTTGCATCTTGCTGATGTTCTTGCTTGCTGTCTCAAAATTCCTAAGAGAAAAATACGCAAAAACTCGGGATATTTGTGTAAGAGTGTACTGAAGTAACACCGTCCTCCACGTGTGGCTTTTAGCGGGTCGTTTCCTATATATGTCATAGGTGACAAGGCCTCCGGCACCCGTCAGGAATACCACTAGCCCTAACAAAGAACAAAAAGGAAAATTAAAAAGTAGATTAATTCATATAGTGATAACAGTGAAATTTAAAGATCAAACTTAAAAGATCAGAATTTGCTTAAAGGGATAATAACTCGTATGAGATCTATATTTCACTATAAAATCATTGTGGACAACTCATAGAAATATAATATATTCTGTTTAACCACAAAAACGGCAGTTATAGCTTTTATTCTGATATCTGAGCTTGTCTTTAGACCACGTGGCCTCCATTGATGGCTATACTCTGTTATAATCTCTTAAGAGATTATAACAAAAAAAAAAAAAAAAAACTTTTTAGAAAAAAAACCAGGGACTAAAGTTATTGAATGTAAAAATGGATTCATTAACCATTGGTTAGTATGGGAAAATTGTTGTTTACTCCAGGAAAATTCATTTTTTGGCCAAGACGAAGAGTTATTATCCCTTTAAGTAATATGGACAGTGATCAGTTTAAATACAGGTAAGAAATCTGAACTTTCACCTACAGCATCAGGTGATTAGATCGAAATACACACTTATGATAGAGACAGGCGTCGGCATTTTTTTTATGTCTTGATCTGTTTCCTTTGTGATGTTTCGTCTTGGAAAGAGTGGCGCCCTTTGATGGATGTGTCGGTGTTCAGTGGGATGAAAAAAGTCATGTATAGACATGGCTCGGGCGCATACATATGGATCGCCGTTTGTACAGAAATGATGAAAGTATCATTTTGACAAGTTTTTTTTTTTTTTTGTGAGATGCTAACATCGCTTTGAGATCGTCACTTTCATCATTTTGACAGAAAATTATTTTCTACAAAGACGTTTTATCATTTTGCGATGTCAAGTTTATCGTTTTCAGATACCGACATGCTTTGAGAGAGATGAGGCAAAACCAGGGGTCGTCTCATAACAAACGGTGGGAAAAGGAACTAACGCATCCAGGTCTGGTTCCCTGTTCACCGTCTACAAAAAGTGTTGTTCGTGCCTGGCAACAAGACGGTAGATATGGATCAAATCCTGGAGGAAGCTAGTTTGGGACGCCTGAAGGCCAAATTCAGAGACGAAAAGGTAATCATAAAGTTTCAATAAAACAATAAACACATTTAGGCCTACAGATTTACAAACTGAGCTCAATTTTATTTGAGTAGGACTAAATTGAAAAAGGTAAAGAAAAAAAAGCAGGAAGGATGCCACTTACTTAGCTAGCAATAGCAGGTACATGTACGCTAGGGCTAGTAGGATACTTGTTTTTTTCTTCACCTATTAATTATGTAGGCCTACTCGGCCTACTTTTTTAGTGTTACTTTAATAAGTCTATAGGAACTAGGGCCTAGCCCCCCACTACAAAAATGACAATTTCGTAATGACATTATATATAATGACTTACCGGGTACTTTTTAAAATAGGGCTAGATGCTCACTCTATTATTGATTAGGATAGAAAGAGTCGGCGTATTATCACTCTGATATGCAACGTTTACGGGACACATACATCATGTATATAGTACAACTATTCAAATATAAGTTCAAAACCAAGGCACATGTGCTCTGCAAACGATACGCCCTCTTTGCATAGCGCCATGGGTGTGCAGTAGGCCTACAGTGTTGGTTTGATATGGACCCTGTTCATTAATAAAATGTCGTCAGACGCTTGATTAAGCAACTTAAGGGTCAGGAAACGGGACATCGTTTGACCCTGCATACGTTTTTGTATTTCCCCACCTAACCACCTCTTTTACATGCTTGTGTGAGTTTAAAACCCATATCCGACATACGTGTCGTAAAGCTACTCTCTATCAAAGGCCAGGTAAATGCAAATTTTATTTCTCTGCAAATGTATAGGCCTAAATAATTTTCTGCACAATTTAAATAATGAAAGCTTTAAATAAAAATATTTAATTGACAAGAGGAATATATGTAAATACTCGGTAACACTCAACGTGTGGGCTTGGAAGAGGGTAACGTAAAGCAGTGTGGGCACGTTATATACTAGGACATGTACAAGGTTCTTGTAGTTGACCTACCCCTGAAAACAGCCTGCCAGGCGCTTGTGTCCCTCCAGTTTTGGTACAAGTTGATGACTTGGTACAAAATTACCGCTGTAAAAACCTGGCTCACCACCAGGAACTTGGTGCCTATAGAGAGCATCCTTGCTGTTTGTAACGCCTGTCTAGTTGATAAACCGCCTCAGTTCTTCGCCGAAAGATAATAAGAATATTCAAGTCAACTTGAGTCCCTGTTCGATGTCTTGCCTGCAACACAGGTTGAGTATAGTGAGTAAATTCACATGTACACGAAGTTTGCTAAATGGCGTTGCTTTATTTGTAGGCTTACGTCAGTCTTAATCTAGTGGGTGTATTTTTAACTGCACGTATGACTCAGTATGACCTGGATATGTAAACACAGTTAAGTCACCGGAGCTACGATATAAAATCAATATACACACAGGTAGTGACGCCAGGTATAAACTAGTGGATGACAGCGGGATTAAGCTCAAAAGTAGGTCCCAGGTCATATTCAAGGTCACATAAGGATTCCTAATACATGGCTTCCTTATCAAGTTCAGCAGTGACTTTATGAGAGTAGCCTACATCTGCAAGTTTTGGAGATATAAGGACTAGTAAATTGCCAAACCGATTTCAGGGTAAAATCTGTTAAACTGGTTGCATTAAGCGAGAGTCCCCCGGAGTTGGATAGGTAGGCTAATAGTCGGTTTTACGGGTCCCTATTTAATTGTTAATAACTCAACCAATTTTGGCCCGATGTTCATAAATTTGGTATCGTTAGATCTAAGTAGACTAAATTATAGTTACAATTGCTAAATTTCGTTGCTTTACCCTGTAGGCCTATACCTAGGAATATACCTGTATGTGACCCCGTCGATATGCTGATCACTGAAGCCTGGCCATTTAAACAAGCTTCAACGAAAATGGAGGGGAGCCTCACAGATTTTGGCCGCAGGGGCCTACATGCTGACGGTAACCTTACCCTTGGTAAGGCCACATAACGCTTCGCCTCAATTTTGGGCCTTACAAGCTCACGGCACCCTTATTATAGCTGGTGAAGTCTCAAAACAGTAGGCCTATGTTAAGTACCGGTACGTCAATCTTGAGGCATACGTAATACCTCTGAAAATCCACGTACTGACAATCTCTGTGGGTCCTCCGCGGCAGCCTGTAGTGGGTAAATCCAATTCAAAGTGCTTTCATGTCTTTTCAGGCACTAGGACAATAGTCTTGGTCTTTTTATTCCTGCTAACTAGGCCTATATGCACTGTACAACAGCACCCATATTGTCGAACTCTTGTGGAGAGGGAGGCCCGTTTCCAAAGTAAACATATAAAGGCGACACATTGGTGAAAAATGGTGTTAGATCCATGTAGCCTACCGCCAATTAATGGATGTTTGAAAAGCATTTGGCCCTGCATTTTTACTTCTGCCGAATTCTGATAACCTTTGCGTAAAGACCCGCATGAATTTATATTTTTAAAATTTTATAATAATTGTCTTTATTGCCAATTAAAGAAAAACACATTTTTCCACGAATTGTCTTTTTTATTTATTATATATTTTTTTGCTTAACTAATAATTTAAATTGTATATATTTTAAATCTTAACCATGGCTATTGGAAATATTAATAGCATTTCAGTAAAATTCTATTCAGTGTATTATTTCCATGCAGTTGGACCACACCCACACCCAAATGTTATGAATGACATTAATTTCGCCCGTTATAATAAAAATAAATAAATATATAAATAATAAAAAAATCATCGTCTGTGCCCATTCAAGAAATAAATAAATAAATAATGACAATAAAATTTATTTATAGTCTTAATTCCATATAAAATGTTCAGTAGACTTTACATGGGTAAAATGATCATAACAAGATGAACACAGTTAATAAAGTTAATAAATTAAAAGGTAGTTAAAATATTAAGATATTAAGATATTGAAATAAATAGTACAATGTAAAAGATAACAGCCAGTCAAATCAATTATAAAACTTTTTGAATATATAAGTTTTTAATTCTTTTTTAAAATTGTCATCAGACTCTATCTTTTTTTATGTAAATCTGGACATTTTCCCATTCATTTGTTCCATAGACTAAGGGTTGTTGCACATCTCGGGAGCTGGGTATTACAGATTGTAAATTATCCACCAATATAATTATCATGAAACTGAAAGTTTTCAGAAAAGGTTTATAATTCCAAATAAATATAAACAAAATAAATATATACCTAAATAAAATAAAAATGGAAGAAATAAATAGGTTAATAAATCAATAAATGAATAAACAAATAAATACACCCTGGATATTTAGCGCTTCCCCCTATGAGGCCAAGTTATCTCCTGTCCAAATACCGTTGAGAACAAAGTATAAACATGTCTTTTAGTTTATAATTTCTAAGTTCTACCGCCTCAAATAATAATAATAATAAAAAAAAAAACATCAGCCTTCTTTACTAGATTGTACCGATCACAATTTCCGTTCCTGGTTATCATTGTCATTATTGAAAATTAAGTTGCCCCCGTCTCCCATTTGATATTTCCGAAGCAAAGGAATTTTCCATACACCCCCCCCCCCCCCCCTTTAGAACAAAACCCTGGGTCTAACAGTAACTGTTTTCCTTGGAGAATACAAAGAACACGCGGTAAGAAGGGGGTTAGTGTAAGGGGAAAACATCTGGAAAGAAGTCAGGTTCATCCCTCTCACTCCCATACAGGATAGTCCTTACTTTTGGTAAATTTCTCCAGCGCAGAATCTTTTGAATGCCCGGATGGGACTTATTGAATGCAGTGGTTATAAACTTTGTAGAAACCCTGTATTCCATACTGTGTTTTCTGTCGGCTTTTCCTGGAATGTCCAAATACAGAGCCTGTCTCTTAAAGGTCCGAAGCAAGTTAATATTTTCGCCGTTGGCGGTTTTAACTTTGTTGTTCTTGTCTATCCATGTCCGAAAATAATCACGCGGTATACGAAAATCGCCAGAATCGGTGTAGGCCCCCTTCAACTTATTGTCCCCGTGATACCTTGAATTCATTGCGTATACTGCATTGCAAAGGACACGATTTGAATTATAGAACATCGCAGATATGTGAATAACAAACCACTGCGAAAACCACCATGATATGTGATCTAAATCGCTTATGTAGGGCAACATGAAGGAAATTGTGTGGCGATGGAACCCGTTGAAAACAGCATCGAAATTATATTTCACCCCCACTGGGGCTGGAGCATCATGGATATTATGCATATATCTTGCAAATCCAACTGCTGGTTGGAAATCGAGTAAAAATAGCTCAAATCGATCAAAAGGGTTATTTGGTAAATCTTCTCTCCACCAGCGTTTCCTATCATTCTCATTTCTTAGCAACAAATCATCGTCCAGAAAGAGGTAGTACAAGTAGCCACCGTCATTCCTCTTAGATGCACGGTCAATTGCTTCCAAAAGCAGCCGGTTACGACCTTCAGTGAGTGTGCTGTTCGGAAAGTAGATGTCGCCTGTTTTGTCTCTGTACGTCAGCCATACTATTTCTCTACTCGGCTTGGCGTTGAGATTGGGAATAGGGTGTCTTGATGCGCCTTGGACGAGATAGACAAATTGCGGTTGTTGTGTCCTTACTGGAGAATCATTTTCACCTTTGCTGCCTGATATCACAAACCTGTCAATCTCAGAGTCTGGGAAACCAAAGCGTTTCATATATGACACCCACAGGAGTATCACAGAGACAATTGCAAACAAGGATACCTGCATGCATTTCTTCATCATCATCTAAGTTCTGATCCTGAAAAATAATAATAAAAAACAGTAATTTATTTACCTTGACGTTCCTCTGACCACAGAGGACGTTATGCAAATCAGCAGCGCATTTTGAATAAGAGGAACATATTTCATTTGAGACAAAGTAGGATGAATATGCTAAAAAAAGCAAAAAACACCATATCTTTGGGAAAATGCTCCGAACCAGATGATTTTTGCACTCAACCTGTACTTCTTATGCGAGGTCAAGATCCTTGAAATGTGTAAGCAGTATTGCATGTATGCCGAAAAAGTCATAAAACAGCATAAACTTTGAAAAAAAATAATAATGCCAGTTTTCGAACTCGACCTGTATTTTATGAATATTCATCAGTTCCGTAAGTTTGAAGACAAAAAGTAAAACGGTTTTCCACTTATTGTGTTATCAACTAAAGTTCACGGAGACGGCTGGCACTTCATAGATCTGTGTCTGTACATAAAAAAGGGCATCGTTAGAAATTATACGATATGCTTTTGACGATTGAAGTCTTCAAGCTGTGGAGGCGGTTTCTGACTATTCCTTGTACCAGGTCTACTCAACTACCAGACTCGGCACCGAATGATCCGAATTCACCGGTAGATCGGACCACACAACCCGTTTTCAAGGTGTGCGTCAGTACGCATTTCACAGTATCATACCCCGAACAAATTGAGTGGTGGTGCAATACTTTCCAACCCCGCTAAGAATCTCATTATCACATCGCATTGTAGGCAAGAGCAGTGTCGTCTGATACTTCGAAGCGCGTACTGATACACACCTTGAAAACGAACGGGTAGTGTGGTCCGATCTACCGGTGAATTCAGTTCATTCGGTGATCTAGACAATCACACCATCTTTACAAAATTGGCGCCAATACCCATTGACAAGTAGCCATTTTCGTGCTATAGACCTTTAATGTTGTACCACACCACTATTTCAGTTTATTTGTGCACAACGTGTTAATATGATTCCCTTTAGCATTCGGAGTAGTGCTGGGACCGTTTGGTATCCAAAATGGACAACTACAGTCACAAAAATAAGGTTTTTCACAATTGTTCTCAAATACCCCTGTAATTGAACAATATCCCAGCAGGCAAACAACACTGATTCTACGTTGATTCAACGTTGATCCACCAAAATTAACGTTGATTCAACAGTGAATCAATGTCGTTTGTCTGCTGGGATTGTGCTTCATTTTTTAAAATTGTGCACTAAACACATTCCTCATATTTTGAGTTGGCTAAGATCTAATCAGTGGAAAAAATAACATATTCTAGCTAATAAAATGTTGCCTAAATCAGCCTTAGGATTATCTGCATGCTCATTCAAAAGACTCCCAATCTCTGTTTTACTGCAATTTTACCTAATCTTGCAGAATTTGAACTTTACAAGGAATCATTTTGCTGCCAGGTGATGAATCCGAAAAAAAAAGCTTCTGGTTGCTACTACTTTTAATAAGCTTGCTGAGAATTTGCATGAACTCATTGCATGGAGAAAAAATTCATTCCTCCAACATGAAGGTACCAGTGTCACGTGGCTATACTCAAAACTGCCAACAGAGGGATACTGCTATGCACTTAGTCTCCTGTAACACAGTGTGAAGACAACACCGTTATTTCACATCTCCAGTATTTATTATTGTTAACCTTAATCAGAAGAATAGCAAAAAAAAAAAAAAATAAATAAAATAAAATAAATAAATAAATAAATAAATAAATAAATAAATAAATAAAATGAAAAATAAATAAAAATAAAACATTGTTCAAAGTCACCAAATTACCCAAGTGAAAAGAGAAGGTAAATCAAATGTTTATACCCGTACAATGTGAAGCATACTGCAGAAATACACAATTATCGAGGTCATACTACAAAGCCACACCTTAAGACAGTAGACTGTTCATGAACTGATGAATCTAACTTGACCTTGTCCAAATACCAGATATGGCATTTAACTACATGTAAGTTCCTTTATCATAAACATGACGCCGTTAGTTCAGTAAACTAATACTGAGTGAAAAATTTACCTTCTTTCTCCAACAAAACAAGACACAAGTTTAGAACCATTCCTCCCAACATGATACTTTACAACCAGCTATCAGATACTACTCTCCGCTTAGTATAGTACACTCATAAATCGAGGGATATTTGCATTCATTTGACATATAAACAGCTACAAAAACTAAATCGCACTATTTCTGTCTTTGAATATAGCAAAATAAAATAATATATAATTTCTTTTGTAGTTTTGCGTGAGACTCTCTTACAGAAAAAGACACTATGCGCATTGATTTACCATAATTTAAGCACTATTTCCACATGAAAAGACGCCCAGAGTTATAGGTAGTGATATGATCGAGGTAACCTTGTGCAACAAATTAACGAGCGCTTGTGTTAAAATTACTCCAAACACTATTTGGCATTTCATATAGCCTGGAGAAATGTGTGAAAATGAATGGGGGTATACACTATGAGGACAAAGGGACCAAGCAACTGTGAATTTAATATTTTTATCTTTTATATATATTCGGCTTGTCTGTAAGCAGGCCTATACAAATGCAGACCTTGCCTACAGGTAGGCAGTGTTTTGCAGCACAACTGTAATGTGGAGGTTGATTTACTGAACCATAAAGATAGAGTGCCTTTGTTAAGAAATTGTAAAGCGATGTTGTATAGACAGACTAATCCTAATCTAACTGTCTGGGATATTAATACAGACATTTTAATTAAAATGTTAATGTTGCTGCAGTGCAATGTTACTGCTGTATATGTCCTTATTGACTAGGCATATATCAAAACCACTAAAATGGATAAGAATTGGCAGTAAAGGCTTCTTTTTATTTTATTTTATTTTATTTATTTATTATTATTATTTTTTAAAAAGCACAAGGAAACACTCTTGTTATCTGCTAAATATGTATTATAGGAGAAGTAAGGTTGTACACACTGTTGTACACTTCTTGTCCATTAGAAGTAGGGCTGGGGTGGATCTAGGATTATTGTAAGGGGGTCCGGGAAACGACCGTTTTTCTCTAGTATATTTCCGTTTAACCCCTTAATATACTAGACGCACATTTGGTAAAATTCTGTGTGCTCTCCCACAGTCAGTTTAATTAAAAATTCACAAGCGCCCCGCACCAGTTTTTGGACTGTTCACATGGTTGCACACCAAATCTGTCACATTTGTGAAATTAAGGATACAAAAATGAGTAGGTTGTCGAGAATTTCTTCACGCCTATATCTGCCTGTCATTGTACAAAGGAACGAGGGACCCGCAGTGGAAAGCGTTGTTGTGTTATCCAGACTAATGCATGTTTGTGTGACTATGCATGGCGCTGTCTTTTGCTTTAGTTGCGAGGTAGAAACAACAACATCTTTATATTCTTTCACTTTATTCAGTTACAACTTTCCACATGAGTCTCGTAGAGGAAAGCGTAATTTTGTTCTCCAGATTGATGCATGTTTGTAAAGGGGTTGAGCTCATCTTTATAAAAATAGTTCTTGATGTCTGGTCCATAACGGTTATGAAAAGGAATCAACGATGTATATCTAAAATAACATCATCCAGTAAAATCAAATAAAACATTTTTTTCACAACAGTTTTTCAGCTAGATTGGATATTTTCATTTAGATATTCAAAATGTATTTTTTAAAATTCATGCTAAAAAGACACAAGGCAGCAAAGTTGTCAAATGTACAAAAAAAAAAAAAAAAAAGGCAGAAAATAATTATACACAAAATAGGCTGCTGTCAATTCTGATGCAATAATAAATTTTGCTTAACTGCAAAGTCAACATCTTATTTTATTTAATCACAACAGGTAATACCGATGTAAGTAAAATTTGTACCAACATAAGGGTTCAGGCCAATGAGATTACAAGTTCACACTTTGAAAATGCCAGATTGAGAAAAATGAAACTTTCACCCACAATTGCATAAATTCAATAAAAATGATAATCCAACAGAGCTGTTTTTTTTAGTTTGAGCTGTATGTCAGCCCTAAGAATCATTCTTGTAAGTTAAAGATTTTAAGTAACACAGTTTTCTTTTTATGTGGTGGCAGTGAGCAAAGTAGTTTTTTGTCAGTTTTGATGCAATATATTACATTTACTTCGTAATTACCACCAATTTTTAATTATCTACTATAAAAAACATGGACATTAAGAAAATGTGATTACCACTCGGCTTCATGCACGTGGGAGTTCTAAGTCAAAAAGCCAAAATGAAAATTTCACAAAAACTTTGCTTCAATAAAAAAACGTCTGTTTTTTCAACTCAGGCTGTATTTCAGTCCGATGTTTCTTTTCTTTTTAAGTGTGAGAATTATTACTAGTTTTATTGCTGGTTTTCCCTCAATGGACAATTTGGAAACACTGTCCAAAATAGGATTTTCTACGATTTTGATGCAATATTACAAAATGTCTAACAGCATAATGACCATCAATTATTCATTTATAAAACACTATTTGAATATTCAGAAAATGTGACTAACAAAGGTCTTCACGCCCATGGAGGCTCTAAGCTACACCTTGAAAATGCCAATATGTAAAAAATTAATTTTCACACAAAAGCAAAGGTCTTCAGACCCATGGAACTTCAAAGTAACACCACACCTCGAAAACGCCAAAGTATAAACAAGAGATAGCTGTACTGAAATGAGTTTATTTCCATTTTCAATATTTTTTAACATAAAACAAAATAACAAATTTACTGTCATTTTTATACAACAACCAAAACACATCTAGAGAGAGATTGGGAAAATATCAACAGAACAATTTTACATGTCCAATTTGCTCCTGAGCTTCTCCTCTGAGTTTTGAACATAGTGAATGACACACTGAAATGATATGAGTTTATTTTCATGTTTGACACTTTATTACACATATCATGACAACATGTTTACCATCATTTTTATATAATCAACTAACAATATTGTTAAGATGCAGAAAATTTCGAAAGAATAACATGTCTAAGAATCGAATCTGAGGAAAACCACTCATATACAAAAAAGGTACACCTACATCAAAACTGAACCGATCAAGTTTATTTTCAAACTTAATTTGTGTATTAGTCCTTTGAAACCGCCCTACAAGTTTTAAAGCAAAATATGATACGGTTCTTATATTATCTGTATGATGGTGGATAAGACATGTAGCTGCGGCACTTTCCTGCACGTGGCGTTCTATCAGCATGACCTGGATATGCACGTACACACGGGTACAAATACACCCACCAGATTAAGACTGATGTTCCAATTAAGCCATTCAGAAAACTTCGTCTGCATGTGAATGTACTTATTTTGCTGTCTGCAGGCAAGACATCGAACAGGGACTCAAGTGACTTGAATATTCTTAAAACTATTTTCTTTCGGCGAAGAACTGAGGCTGTTTATCAACTAGTAAGGCGTTCCAAACCAGAATGCTCACTATAGGCACCAAGTTTCTGGTGGTGAGCCAGGTTTTTACAGCGGTAACTTTGTACCAAGTCATCAACATGTACCTAAACTGGAAGGACACGAGTAGCTGGCAGGCTGCTTTCAGGGGTAGGCCAGCTATAATACATGTACTTATATAACACTTATCCACATTGCTTTATATTACCCTCTTCCAAATTCCAAGGCCACAGGTTGATTTTTACCGAGTATTTACAGATATTCGTTTGGCCAACTAAATATTTTATTTTATTTTAATAAAATTCGTATGCAGGGTCAATCGATGTCCCTGTTACTGAACTCCATCGTTGCTTTATCAAGCGTCTGACCTTACTCAGTGAACAGGGTCCATATCAAACCAACACTGTACTGCACATTCATGACGCTATGCGTATCTTTTGCAGAATACATATACCTTGGTTTTGAACTAAGTTTGCATGGTGGTGGTATACAAGTATATGTCCAGTAAACGTTGCATATCACGCACTGTAATACTTAAAAAAAGAACTCTAGATGTTAAGGAAACTGTTTGCGGTAATCCTAAAACAATGTTTATTCCATGCCCAATGGTTGTCGGCTTAATATAATCTTCAAAGGCATATTTGAATTTCATATTTCTATAACACGGTAGTGTTATGCAATTTATCTTCAATCTGTGTTGTACAGTTTATCTTCACTCTTAGATTCAAGTCTGAATCAAGGAAAAAATCTCTTCAAAGTAATAAACGTAGATGACAAATATACACCCTTTTAAATATGACAGAAAGGGTAGACCTATTGATGACTCTTAAATAGTGAAAATACTAGTAGTTTGGTTTTGTTATTGCCATTTGGCTCTTTTGCTTCCTCCTGCCAAACACAGACACCAGAGACAGTCTGGATTAAGACAGTCCCAGGTCTGAGCGTTATGTACACTGTAATTATACCTTCCTACCCGGAGAATATATATTCATGCTTAAGGCAACTGAATTACAAACGTATTCCTAGTACTGAGTTTTTGTTATCTTGTTTTCGAGTTGGACAGAAATACAATAGATATTCAGGTAATAGCCCATATAGGTATAATTACCTAGGCATGACAGCTGACAAGACACGCCTGATAGATTTGACAAGCAAGAATCCGTAATATCTAATATATGTATATTCATGCTTAAGGCAACTTAAATACAAGCGTATTCCTTGTACTGAATTTTTGTTATGTTGTTTCTGCTTCGGAGAGAAATACAATACATATTCGGGTATAGAGAAAATATTATTTAGCCCATATACGCGTATAATTACCCAGGCATGATGGCCTATAAGACACACCTGATAGATTTGGCAAGCAGGTATGATCTAATATACTGATCACCGTCCATAAAACCAAATTCTAATCTTTTAAATTTGCCTTTTAAATTTCACTATTATCACTATTAGAATTAATCTACTTTTTAATTTTCCTTTTTATTCTTTGTTAGGACTAGTGGTATTCTTCACGGGTGCCGGAGGCCTTGTCACCTATGACATATACAGGAAACGACCCGCTAAAAGCCACACGTGGAGGACAGTGTTACTACAGTACACTCTTACACAAATATTCCGAATTATTGTGTACTTTTCTCTCAGGAATTTTGAGACAGCAAGCAAAAACATCAGCAAAATGCAAGAAGATGCATTAATGTTTTACATTCGCACGCTGGAAAATACGGAGTTTGGCAAGAAACACAATTATTCTCAGATGCGGACGAGGGAAGATTTTTTGAAACTGCACCCAGTTTTGTCCTACACCGACCTTAAACCTTACATTGACAAAACTATAGCGGGCAAAAAAAACCAAATCACTCCATTTGACCCGTTTTACATCGCTTTTACTTCAGGGACCACCGGTAAAAACAAAGCGTTCGTATATGCAAAGGAGATGTTTGCCAAACCTTCAAAGATGCTTAAAGCTCTTCTCTTTAGGACTTTAAGATTTAAGAGAGCTGGATTATGGGATGACCTGAAACGCTATCACGAGGTCAGAATAGGAGTCAAGACAAATATTACTGACAGTGGCATAAGAACTGGACCAATAGCCGGAATGTATACATTCTTTCCAAGTTATTTGGTTTCACCACGTGTGGTGTATGACGTCACTACCGAAAACGAGGCCCATTATTTACATGCACTCTTCGCACTAAAAGATCCTGGTATTGGGACTTTCAACTTCTCTTTCCCGTCTGTTGCTACCCGGTTTTGTCAAACTTTGGAACACCAGTGGCCACAGCTATGTGACGATATAGAACACGGTGCCCTGAATACAGACTTGGACATACCCGAGGACATCAGGGAAAGGTTGCAGACCGATATGAGGGCGGATCCCCAAAGAGCTGCTGAAGTTCGTCGGATCATAAGGCAGGGCTTTGACGGAATTGTGCGCCGTTTATGGCCGGAATGTAACGCAGCTCTAATGTTGAGTTCAGGTTCTCTTCTTCCTGAGGCCGAGGGATTGAAGCAGCATTATCTGAAAGATGTTCCGTTTTGTAATCCCGTACATGCCGCTACTGAGGGAGTTTTCGGGTTTTGTGACCCTGACGACAACAGCCAAACGCGGTTCATTATGACGACTTCCTTAAATCACTTCGACTTTATCCCCCTGGAGGAAACAGATAAACCATCTCCCCGTGTGGTACCTATTGAGGAGGTAAGCACAATTAACTGTAGCTCTTATGAGGCAGTTGCGCACTAGTTTCGACCTAAATTATTTATTATTCTTTTCACTGGAAAAACTAAGGATTAAGGGCAACTTTTTCCCGCCAAACTGAATTTTACTGGGGTAAAGAGCAATTTGCTGTTATTCACAAATAATTGTTTGACCCATCTTTGCACTTGGAGAGATAATGAGGACACGAGACAGATTTCAGATACACTTTTATTACAAGATGTTATTGTCTGGTGTTTACATTTAGAAGGTCTTACAAGACATACATGCATTTGACCGTGGGGGTTTTTCAAACGCGTGGTGGGGGTTGCCTCTGACAATTCTTTTTTGGCAGTGAACTCCCATGAATTGTCTCTTAAGGTAGTCCCCCCCCCCCAAAAAAAAAAGGGGGGGGGTTCACTCACAGATGTTTGCTCTGATGTCCCAAAAGCTACATGAATGTTTCCCAAATCTTGCCAAAAACTGGAATGTTTATATAATTGACATTCTTTATAATGCATGCTTGGTTCTTTATTCGTTTTAATTGTTTTATTTATATGTATTGTGTAATAAGTTTTTAACCCTCAATCAGGTACAAATTGGACAGTGTTATGAACTGGTTATAACAACCGCGGTTGCCGTGCGTTACAGACAAGGTGACGTGGTGAAGATAGTGGATTTTTACAACCAGGTTCCAGTATACGAGTTCCAATATAGGTAATTCCAACTGATCAGCTTACATCCACAAAAAAGCAATTAGTATTCCATGAAACTGTAGAACGTAATTTTTCACCTGTACAATTCCAAATAATTGTTGTGTTTTTATAAACTGATGTGGCCATTATCAGTTGTGTTGAACCTTTTTAATTCACCTAATTCTTGAAGTCTTATTGAAGTATTAAAATACTTTCATATTCGTAAGAAATAGCACGGTCACTTTTATTATATGACTAAACTAAACTGACTGGAGTCCCCTTCAGATTTTTTTACAAAAACTACTTAACAACACCCAATCGTCAATCTTTGATCGTCGGAAGGGATTTATCAACCAATGACAATTAAGTTTGGAAACATTTTAGTTAAATCCGTTTTAATGTAGCTATTATGTTTTATTTCAGGCTGGGACAAATGTTGAATCTTTTCTGGGAAAAGATGACCGAGGGGGCCTTTGTTCACGCACTCCGAGGAGCAGCCAAGCGCAATGATGTTGACGTAGTTGAATATACTGCGACGGAGAACGTCAACTTTGAAGCTATCGCTGGTAAGTTTATTCATGGCAGATCTTGCATCTTCTGGTTTACTTTCATTATGGATGTAGATTGAAGATAAAGTTTTGTGTTACTTTTCGTTGTGCATAGTAACATTATACAATTTTTCAGAGCCTCTACAAAATGGACGGCACTACGTATTGTTTATGGAGTTGTCAGAAAACTCAGACAAGGAACAAAGGAGATTGACTTCACAGCAGAAACAGATGGCAAGCGCTTTTGTATTATTTCTTCGTTTTGTACACTTAATACACGTATAAATGTTCGTGGGAACTATTACAAGTTTTCAGATGCGTGATGTTTGATATTAGGATAAAATGAATAATGTGCCTTCTTACTTTCTAAGCAGTTTCTGAAAAATGTCTTTAAAGTGAAAAACCATTCGTACAAGGGTAGGCCTTACTTTGCTGGCAATGTTAAAAGTCACTGCATTTAGAGTCAATACAGTCGATTCCACTATAGTTTTATCTTAATATGTTTTAGTTTGAAGACGTTTTGTACGAAGAACACGAAGTTTACAAGATGCTGAGAGATAATGGAAGTATTCTCCCCATGAAAGTTATCCAGGTGAAGACCGGTGCGTTCAATGCCTTGAAGAACGCCGTAGTGGAAAGTAACCCTCTCACAAGTCGATTACAGTACAAGACACCGCGCGTGCTGAGGGCAACTGATCGTCTGCGCGTTCTATGGAACTCTCGCTTGTCGTGATGGGTGGGATACAGCCTTTAGTTTACTTTTCTTGGTTTTGACCAATAACACTGCCAACTGGTTTATTGATTTATCAAGTGCTTATTCCATGTTATTGCAGCTTATTCCATGTTATTTGCAGATAGATAGAGAGATAGATACTTGTTGTTGTTGTTGCGGTTGTTGCTGTAGTTGGGCTGTCATTTGAAATATTATCATTATTACCAGCATTATCACCACCTATATAAATTAATTATTAATTAACTTTATACAATAATATTACACTGAACATAATAATTGAACATACTAATTTTGAATTAAAAATTTTAATGAATAGATGATTACATTTTGAAACGGTATACAAATAACCTTAATTACTACTTTTATATCTGCTTGTATTTGAGGAATTAATATACTGTATCCTCAGCAACTGTTATGTCAGAATGACAAAAAGGAGTTAATATAATAATTTTCCCACTCTTTTAATAAAACGTACGTCGCATTACATACCTCATCTTGAATGAATGGTGGTAGAACGTACAGCAATGACTTGGTGTACTGGTACATGTACCCCGTTGAGATAATCCCTATAGCATTTTAATGTTAAAATGCGACCAAGGACTGCTCTCTGCTTTTCCTTTAATTCGAGAGAATGGGATTTCCCTTACCGCCGAAAATTTACAAAACCAGCTCATGTTTCTTTCTTTGATCTACATGTAGATCCGCTCCTGTCCAAGCTTCTTTTGATGAATGAATATTGAGCAAACGGTGCCATACGTCTTTTATAGCCTCTTTTGCAGACGTATATCATTATAGCCTGAAAGCAAAAACCACCTCCATGCATCTTTGGATGGTATGTAATAATAAATAAACGATTCGATTTTATAGTTGAGGTTGAAGTTGAGGTTATTTATTTTATATCTAAGTATATTGATTGAAGAACACACACACACACACACACACATATCGGAATCTCTTAATTGTGAATGTGGGGAGGTAAAAAAATTCAAGGAGTACTATCTACTCCCTTGGGTGCAGCTAGGCGTGGGACGCATTTCTACAAGTAGTCCATGAGGTCCGTCCAAAAATACATCGATAAATGAACATGCTATCCCATTTTATAGTGAGTGTTATGAACACCAAATGCCACAGAACAATTACTTTTGGGTCCGTTAACTAAAATTTCCTTGCCAATATCCCATGATTTGAAGAATTAGACTGGAACCTTTTTCCCGTCCATTTTGTGAGTCGGCCAGCAAATGGGAGCAGTCAAATTGACGCCTGCTTTCTTGGACCTATAGACAGTTATTTTAACAGGAAATCAGACAAGTCAGGAGTACAACTCAGAAATCAAGCCAAAACCGACAAAAACAAGATCAAATAAGCCTTATTACCGGAGATATAGATTCCTATTGGTAAGAAGGTATAATTGTTCAGAAAAGACGAAAAGATTGCTTACTACTGGCGACTAATATGTACGAAAATTTGGCACATACAGTGCGATTAACCACCTTGAATATTTATTTAATTTATAATCTGACTCTTGTTATCAAAATCATTAAACAGAAATTGGAAATGGCAATGGTTTGAAAAGATAGCTAGGGGCACCTTACAGACTAAAGACGTGCTGCACTAGTATGTCAAATACACGACTGAGTCCTCCGTCGCTAACTGTGGTTTAATATTTCTAGATACTATACCTTTTTATCTTTCAGGGACGAACTGAGGATTAACAACTTGACAAGCGTTCCAAACCAGAATGCTCTCTATAGTCACCCAGTTCTTAGTGATTACAGATTTTTTTTTTTTTTTTTTTTTTTTTTTTTTTTTTTTTTTTTTTTTTTTTTTTTTTTTTTTTTTTTTTTTTTTTTTTTTTTTTTTTTTTTTTTTTTTTTTTTTTTTTTTTTTTTTTTTTTTTTTTTTTTTTTTTTTTTTTTTTTTTTTTTTTTTTTTTTTTTTTTTTTTTTTTTTTTTTTTTTTTTTTTTTTTTTTTTTTTTTTTTTTTTTTTTTTTTTTTTTTTTTTTTTTTTTTTTTTTTTTTTTTTTTTTTTTTTTTTTTTTTTTTTTTTTTTTTTTTTTTTTTTTTTTTTTTTTTTTTTTTTTTTTTTTTTTTTTTTTTTTTTTTTTTTTTTTTTTTTTTTTTTTTTTTTTTTTTTTTTTTTTTTTTTTTTTTTTTTTTTTTTTTTTTTTTTTTTTTTTTTTTTTTTTTTTTTTTTTTTTTTTTTTTTTTTTTTTTTTTTTTTTTTTTTTTTTTTTTTTTTTTTTTTTTTTTTTTTTTTTTTTTTTTTTTTTTTTTTTTTTTTTTTTTTTTTTTTTTTTTTTTTTTTTTTTTTTTTTTTTTTTTTTTTTTTTTTTTTTTTTTTTTTTTTTTTTTTTTTTTTTTTTTTTTTTTTTTTTTTTTTTTTTTTTTTTTTTTTTTTTTTTTTTTTTTTTTTTTTTTTTTTTTTTTTTTTTTTTTTTTTTTTTTTTTTTTTTTTTTTTTTTTTTTTTTTTTTTTTTTTTTTTTTTTTTTTTTTTTTTTTTTTTTTTTTTTTTTTTTTTTTTTTTTTTTTTTTTTTTTTTTTTTTTTTTTTTTTTTTTTTTTTTTTTTTTTTTTTTTTTACAGCGGCGACATTATACATGTACCAAACCATTAACTTGTACCAAAACTAGAAGGACACGAGTGCCTGGCAAACTGCATTCAGGGGTAGACCAACTACTAGAAACCTGAACATGCAATAGTATAACATGGGCACATTGCTTTACGCTTCCCTCTGCCAAGCCCACAGGTTGATTTATACTGGATATACTTACAGATACCCCTAGCAAAATATCAGGTCTGCTGAAATTTGCTGCAATGTTGCTGGAAACTGAATTCCCTCTTGAAAATTTGCTGCAATCTGGCTGCAAATTAGCAGCAATAAAATGTTCTTGCAAACGTTCAGTGTTATACATTTACCTGGCCTCTAATGTAAAGTAGTTTACGTTATGTGTGTCCGATTGAGGTGCAGTTCTCACACAAACAGATAGAGGAGGAGGTGATACGGAAAAAGACAAAAACCATATGCAAGACCAATCGATGTTCCTGTGCATGTAACCTAGAGTTGCTTAATCACACGTCTAACGCCGTAAACGAACAGGGTGACCATCGTGTTCTTATCATACCAGCACTGTTCTACAATCGTATGACAAGTTCCTTGGTTTTGAATGTAAATCCATATAGCGGTGGTATATGAAACCGCAAAAGTTAGACGCCTCTTTTTTGTTGCATTATGTAGACCCTGTCAAGAGCATCTCTGACAGTTGTGTCGTTTTTTTTTTTTTTTCATACGGTTTTTCGTACGGTTTAAGAGTTGCGTTATTTCAAATGGTGAAAAGAAAATTTTTAATTAAAATCTGAAATACTCCAGAAATTATTGAGATACACCCATATTACTATTAAACACGAATAGGAAGTCATATATTGGCAATCCAAATGTGATCTTCAACTTGGCTTTCGACCTACTTTCACTCTTGAACTGGACTTTGGACATGTTTCAGTCGTGACTTCTTCAGAACTAGCAGAGATAAACCCATAGTTACTACTGGACATAAATAAACAGGAAATCATATATTGCACTCCTTAATGTAACCTTGAGGTTTGACCTTTCAGTTTGACATGCAAGTACTTTCATCCTTAAATGCAGTTTGCCAATTTTCTAGTCCATATATCTCCAAAACTCGCAGATTTACTCTTATAGTCACTGCTGAACTTGATTAGGAAGCCCTTGATCCCTCGTAATTTTCCCCATGTTGGCTATTTTTTGCTCTTCCTGTTCATGAGTATAAAGCCTAAAATTTGTATGTGTTCGGAATCCTAATATGACCTTGAATTTAACCTTTGACCTACTTTGGAGGTTAATCCCGCTCTGATCCTGTAGTTTACACCTGACTTCACTACGTTTATGTGATAGATACAATACGAGTCGCCGAGCTGTACGTGAAATATTACGAGTGCATTGTCGAGCCGCAACTGAGTGTTGTATCTGGCTTAAACCACGGCCTCTTATTGGCTACTACACTGCCCTTGCGATATTTTACTCATACATGTCAGATGGCCCTTGTGGTCACTTAGTCCTGTGTTGGAGGATGGAGGACAAGGCTGAACACGCCTTTACAGCCCCCTCGACCAAAGTCAGCTCCAGCCGCTTCGTGCAGCAGCAGCACCACTACCACCTTCACCAGCGGCAGCAGTTTAGATACTGAGAAGCCCCCCCCCCCCCCCCCCCCCNCCAGCCGCTTCGTGCAGCAGCAGCACCACCACCACCACCTTCAACAACAGCAGCAGCAGTTTAGATACTGAGAAGCCCCCCCGCCCCAAACAAAAAATACATCATCTTCTTCAGGGGGTCCTGCCCCCCCCCTTCGGTTTCTGATATATATTTCACCAATGTTCCCCTCTAGAAATTGAAATTTTGACTATCTGAATCATAGTTCTAAACCGTACCAAAAGGCACCGTTTGCCCTCCAAAACACCAAAAAATTTTCGGGGCCCTTGATCAGGTCCTGAGCCCCACGCCAAGCGGGCGATGGTCGGCTTCGCATCCGAGGCTTGTCGTTCCGGACCCCCTTCAAATAATCCTGGATCCGCCCCTGTGCTTTCACTAATTAGAAAAATTGTCATTGTCAAAGAAGACAGGAAATTTACTTTGGAAAACTCTCGTTTTCACATCCTGTATTGTGAGTAACTTGAGAACGCGAATTTTCAGTTTTTGGGTAAATGCTTTTTCATGATATTAAAAGTTTGAGAATCGACTTGTTTTCATTGTTGTCTGATCCGTGGGGCCGCTAGGACCCATTATACAGATACTGGCCCCTTATTAGCTAGGGAGTGCAACAGACTGTAGAACGCACTCGTACATGACGTGCTTGTATGTCGAATTGTTCTACTCGCTAGCCGCAAGTGGCGTTCTATCAGCATGACCTACATACGTACACACGGGTACAAATACACCCACCAGCTTAAGACTGCATTCCCACAGATTTAGATCGATCCATCTGGATCGACCCAACTCCCTGGGGGTTCACGCTAAATTGCTGTCAGCCGAGCACGCACGGAAGTAAACTAGCCCCTTACAGCTTTAAGTAGGCGGAACAGACATTTAGGCAGGCTAAGCTGACAGTAATCTAGTGACACTCCCCACGGGGATAGATCGATCTTAAATCTGTGGGAATGCAGTCTAAGACTGATTTACAAATAAACAACGTCATTCAGCAAACTTCGTCTGCATGTGCATGTACTTATTATGCTCCACCTGTGTTGCAGGCAAGACATCGAACAGAGAATCAAGTTGACTTGAATATTCTTATCTTTCGGCGAAGAACTGAGGCGGTTTATCATCTAGACAGGCGTTCCAAACTACCAGAATGCTCTCTATAGGCACCCAGTTCTTGGTGGTGAGCCAGGTTTTTACAGCGGTAACTTTGTACCAAGTCATCAACTTGTACCTAAACTGGACGGACACGAGTGCCTGGCAGGCTGTTTTCATGGGTAGGCCAGCTATAAGTATATGTACTAATATATAACAGGTATCTTCATTGCTTTGCGTTACCCTCTTCCAAATTCCAAGACCACAGGTTGATTTTTACCAAGTATGTACAGATTTTCGTTTGGCCAACTAAATATTTTATTTTACGCTTTAATTATTTACGCTGTACAGAGAATTATTTATCCATTAATTGACTTAGAAATAACATCTCTTCATGCATTCACCTGGCCTCTTATCGGGAGTATAAATGTTTCAGATTGGGGTGTTTTTTTAACTCGCACAGACCAGTTAAAGGAGAAGGTTAGATGGGGAAATACAAACCCGTATGCAGGGTCAACCGATGTCCCGGTTACTGCACCCTAAACTTCCATTATCAAGCGTCTGACCTTATTCAGTGAACACGGTCCATATCAAACCAACACTCTACTGTACTGTCGCTATGAAAAGAGGGCGTATCCTTTGCAGAGCACATGTACCTTGGTTTTGAACTTAAGTTTAAATGGTAGTGGTGTACATGTATGTGTCCTGCAAACGGTGCATATCACGTACTGTAATAATTTAAAAAGATGTAGGGAAACTATCGGTTATCCCAAAACAATGTTTATTTCATGCCCAATGGTCGTCGGCTTACTGTAATCTTCAAAGTCATATTTGAATTTCATATTTCTATAACATTGTAGTGTTATGCAATTTATCTTCAGTCTGTGTTGTACAATTTACCTTCAAATCAAATCTAAATCAATGAAAAAGTCTCTTCAGAGTAATAAACATAGATGATAAATACAGATTCTTTTAAATTTGACAGAAAGGGGAGACCTATTGATGACTCTTAAACAGTGAAAATACTGGTAGTTTGGTTTTATTATTGTCATTTGTCTCTTTTGCTTCCTCCCACCAAACATACACCAGAGGCAGTCTGGTTCAAGACAGTCCCAGGTCAGAGCGTTATGTACACTGTAACCTTCCTACCTGAAGAATATATATTCATGCTTAAGGCAACTTAATTACAAACATGTTCTAGTTCTGAGTTTTTGTTATCTTGTTTTCGAGCCGGACAGAAATACAATAGATATTCAGGTAATAGCGTAAAGAGAAAATAACATTCAGCCCATATAGGTGTAATTACCTAAGCCTGATGGCTGATAAGACACGCCTGATAGATTTTTGGCAAGCAGGAATCCGTATGATCTAATATACTCGTCCATCTTACCTAAACAAATTCTGATCTTTAAAATTTGATATTTAATTTTTACTTTTATAACTATATGAATAAATATACTTTTTAATTTTCCTTTTTGTTCTTTGTTAGGGCTAGTGGTATTCTTCACGGGTGCCGGAGGCCTTGTCACCTATGACATATACAGGAAACGACCCGCTAAAAGCCACACGTGGAGGACGGTGTTACTACAGTACACTCTTACACAAATATTCCGAATTATTATGTATGTTTCTCTCAGGAATTTTGAGACAGCAAGCAAAAACATCAGCAAGATGCAAGAAGATGCATTAATGTTTTACATTCGCACGCTGGAAAATACGGAGTTTGGCAAGAAACACAATTATTCTCAGATGCGGACAAGGGAAGATTTTTTGAAACTGCACCCAGTTTTGTCCTACGCCGACCTTAAACCTTACATTGACAAAACTGTAGCGGGCGAAAAAAACCAAATCACTCCATTTGACCCGTTTTACATCGCCTTTACTTCAGGGACCACCGGTAAAAACAAAGCGTTCGTATATACAAATGAGATGATTGCCAAACCATCAAAGATGTTTAAAAATCTTCTTTTTACTACTTTAAGCTTTAAAAAAGCTGGGATATGGGATCACCTTAAACGCTATCACGAAGTCAGACTAGGAGTCAAGAAAAACTTTACTGACAGTGGCATAAGAACTGGACCATTATCCGGAATGTATGATTTCTTTCCTAGTTATTTGGTTTCACCACGTGTCGTGTATGACGTCACTACCGAAAACGAGATCCATTATTTACATGTTCTCTTCGCACTAAAAGATCCTGATATTGGGGCTTTCAACTTCTCTTTCCCGTCTGTTGCTACCCGGTTTTGTCAAACTTTGGAACACCAGTGGCCACAGCTATGTGACGATATAGAACACGGTACCCTGAACACTGATTTGGACATACCCACGGACATCAGGGAAAAGTTGCAGACCATTATGAAGGCGGATCCCAAAAGAGCTGTTGAAGTTCGACGGATCATAAGGCAGGGCTTTGACGGAATTGTGCGCCGTCTATGGCCGGAATGTAACGCAGCTCTGATGTTGAGTTCAGGTTCTCTTCTCCCTGAGGCCGAAGGATTGAAGAAGTATTATATGAAAGATGTTCCGTTTTATAACCACCTCCATGGCGCTACGGAGGGTTTTTTCGGGTTTTGTGACCCTGCTGACAACAGCCAAACGCGGTTCATCATGACGACTTCCTTAAATCACTTTGACTTCATCCCTGTGGAGGAAACAGATAAACCCTCTCCCGGTGTGGTACCTATTGAGGAGGTGAGCACAATTAACTGTAGCTCTAATGAGGCAGATGCGCACTAGTCTCGACCTAATTGTTTTTTATTATTCTTTGAACTGGAAAAGCTAAGGTTTAAAGGCAACTCCATTAGATCCCCCCCCCCCCTAAAAAAATGAATTTTACTGCGATAAAGAGCAATTTGCTGTTATTCACCAATAATACATGCATATGACCGTGGGGAATTTCAAACACGTGGATTGAGTTACCTCTTACAATATGAAGTGGTCCTTAAAGGTAGTATGCCTCCCTAAGAAAAGGGACCATAGTATGCCCCCCCCCCAAAAAAAAAAAAGGGGGGGGGGGGGGTCACTGACAGACGTTTGCTGTGATATCCCGAAAGCTACATGGATGTGTTTGATAACGGATTCCCAGGTCTTGCCAAAATCTCATATTTACTGGAATGTTTATGTAATTGACAATTACTTTATAATACACGCTTGATTCTTTATCCGTTTTAATTGTCTTATTTATGTGCATTGTGTAATCTGTTTTTACCCCCCAATCAGGTACAGATAGGACAGTGTTATGAACTGGTTATNCTTTTTAATTTTCCTTTTTGTTCTTTGTTAGGGCTAGTGGTATTCTTCACGGGTGCCGGAGGCCTTGTCACCTATGACATATACAGGAAACGACCCGCTAAAAGCCACACGTGGAGGACGGTGTTACTACAGTACACTCTTACACAAATATTCCGAATTATTATGTATGTTTCTCTCAGGAATTTTGAGACAGCAAGCAAAAACATCAGCAAGATGCAAGAAGATGCGTTAATGTTTTACATTCGCACGCTGGAAAATACGGAGTTTGGCAAGAAACACAATTATTCTCAGATGCGGACAAGGGAAGATTTTTTGAAACTGCACCCAGTTTTGTCCTACGCCGACCTTAAACCTTACATTGACAAAACTGTAGCGGGCGAAAAAAACCAAATCACTCCATTTGACCCGTTTTACATCGCCTTTACTTCAGGGACCACCGGTAAAAACAAAGCGTTCGTATATACAAATGAGATGATTGCCAAACCATCAAAGATGTTTAAAAATCTTCTTTTTACTACTTTAAGCTTTAAAAAAGCTGGGATATGGGATCACCTTAAACGCTATCACGAAGTCAGACTAGGAGTCAAGAAAAACTTTACTGACAGTGGCATAAGAACTGGACCATTATCCGGAATGTATGAT